CTTGTACAACGGACATTCCGCGACTACATGAACACGGTCTTCGCATTCGAAGCCGCAATCACATTTGAACTCGTCGTCTTCCTCGTCTACCGTCCTATGTCTTCGTCGACGTTCTCGAAGGCCCATGTCCCCGGTCCTGAATTTGACCTTAAGCTTTGTTCCTGCATCCATTGGTCCATGTAGGTAGTCCTTGAACCCTAATCCTTCCTTCAACATTCGGGGGGGGATAACTTTTGATCTAATATTTCGGCAACCACAAACTCAAAACACCATGTACCTCATATTTTTTCATTGTATCGGCGGGGTTTGAGTAGAGAAGAACGAAGATACTCATGAAAAAAAAAATCATCTTGGTATGTGTATATGGGGCTGATGTGGGCGAAAAAATTGAAAATGTTGGTTCTGATTTTTTTTAGTTCTTCTTCACCACGCTCGGGGATGATTCCGCCGCAGTTATATAATTCCGGAGGAGAGCTTTTCAAGTCTGCAATTTTTTCCCGTGGGGTTCGCCGTGGTTGTTGAGATATGGCGATTCTTGTGGGATGAAGTGCCTTCTGCATTGATGGTAATGGAGCCATATCTTTCCCAAAAACGAAAACCCCGCGCTGTGGATAGTCTTATTCGATCGCTGCTAGCGAGAGCTTTCTCACGAATTTTTGGTTCCGCTCAATTCGTTGAAGAAGATTATTATTTTTTCAAAGCACCCGTATTCGGGCTCGCACTTTCCGGCACTGTAGTCGTCCGAAAAAAATTTTTACCACTACAGTACTGTGCTAGGGGTCGGCATGAAAGAGGACTCCCGTGGCTTTATCAACCAACATTGCATGCTTGCACACGTCTTAGGGTGCTCGGAAGATGCGGTCTTCAAATGATGCTTCACCTTGCCGCACCCGGATGGCACAAGCACATCGTGGGCTTATTTTACTGTGACAGTTATAGTGGCACCCATCCCACTATTACTACAGCCTGCCCCATCAACCACACCCACTCAACACCACAATCGACCGCCTACCCGCTTTCGCCGCGTAACGCTCATACAACAAAGCTCAGGTTGTTCATTATTGGAGGGTCGCCTCTCACCAACGATGTCTGGGCGGGAGACATCGTGCAGGACGCGTCCGGATTCTGGTCCTTCGCTTGGGAGAGGATGGCAAGCGGAAACGACGTGCCGTTCTCGCCTAGGGCAGGCTTAGGTGAGACAAAGCCCTTCCAGGTGCATCCAAAACCTCAACCTGGGTGCGGTAGGTGTTGGGGTATTTGCCAGCACTTTCAACGTCATGCACCTTTCTCGTCCACAACAGCGGTAGAAGCTAATGTTAAAATGAGGGTGGAGAGTCCTAGCTGTGGTTCGTTTTACTACTACTGTTGGTGCTTACCGCTGTTCGTTCTCCTCAACTGTCCCCACCATACGCGCAATGGGTCAGCTGCTGCCGTGGTTCAACGCCCCCTGGTGCAGTCAGAGTTTAATGACACGCTTTTCTTGATGGGCGGTTTTGGGGGATGGCCGGAAGACGACCCGAGGTACAACGGGATGCGATGCAGGAACGACGTGTACAAGACAAAAGATGGCGGTGAGCTGTTGTTGAGGAAAGAGAGAGACAGAGAGAGAGAAGCAGAAAACCGGACGAAGACAACAATTGTCTTGGCTGGGCTGACAAGCCGGAGGGAGTAGTATCCAAGACAACAATTCATATCGGCGAGTCTTTTCTCACGCTTCCTTCTCAGGGGCACGCAGGGGTATCGTCGGCACGTTACCACGCGCGCCCGAGGACCGCCAGCCACTCGTGGCGCGTGTGCTTGACGCCCAACGTTGAAAAAATGGCTCTGTACCCCGGGGACGTGTTCCGTGCGAAGAAAGCCTTCGTAAGAAATTGAAGACTTTTGTTTTCTGCGCAACGCACACAAGTCCCACAGACCATGGGTAACACGAATACATAAAAAGGAGAGATCAAACGCTGCGAGTTACAGCACAAGGACCTGCAGCAAAGACTCCCCTAGCCAAAAAGCACACATTCACGCTTACGCGAAAAGCCACGGCGAGAAAAAACAATACCCCGCACATGATGCAAATTCCAGGCAAAATCTGAAGGTTGCACGCAAAACCGTCTTTCACTACGGATTGTCATGACGTTAAGATGCAACGATGCGATCGTGATTAAATTGACCATGTCCTCTTGCATCGCCCCCGGAAGGAAGGCCACCTAACTCCCGAAGGGGAGCCTTTATGACATGTGTCAGCTCGAGAGCTAGCTGTGCAAATACTATCAAACGGATAAAGTATCGCCCAAATCATTTCCTGTAGCGATTGCTCTTCTCAAGACCTGCCGAGTCCAACTTGACAGGGGATCGAAAAAATAAAACACCCTCCTGCTGATGTACTTACTCCTCGCCAATCTCTCGACCTTACCCCCCCTCGGTGCATAGTGGCCTGGTCTGTCGTGACCGAGAGCGCCGATTGGGGCCCTCGAGGATGGTTCGACGTTGCCACCTTGACCAAGGTCTCCGATCCCTACTCGGACGTGACTCCCTCGTCGCAATCCCGAACTTTCACGGGAAACGGCCCTCGCATGTGGCTCGCGGGCGGCGGGTATATGGGGCAGAACGGCAACAGCATCGTCTCTTCCATGATCGGCTACGTGGATATGTGGTTTAGCACGGACGGGCTCACCTGGCACCAGGTGGTTTTTCGAGGATACAGTCGGAAGAGAGTGTGGACAACGAGAGAATTCGGCGTACATTACCGAGAGGGAGTACGTTGTGCTCCACGCACTCATTCGTCGTGTGTTACTTTTCCAACCTGGCAATTTGATGCTGTGATCAAGCGACGACGACAACACTTTTGCATGAAATTCGAGCACTAGGTTCCTGAAAACAACGCCCGGATCGGCCCCAGTGCACGCTTGATCACGGCCGGGACGTCAAGACCACGTGGTCCCACGATGCGCGTAAAGTCCATGGGGTTCTGCTCGACAGTTGCAGCAGACGCGGTCGGAATCGAGAACGATTATTTAGCCCCTCCCAGGCAGCCGTTGTTCTCTCGGTTGCAAACACCCACCCACTCATTGACGCTGTAACACCGCCGCATCGAACACGACGGAGCAAGCAAACACCCAAAACTCCACCAAATTACTTGCCGAAGGTGAACTACGAAGAAGGATCAACCGGGTCGAACCTGTACTCCAGCATGGAATGGGCTCTCACGGAGGTCGACAACATCCCTACGTACCTCGGCAAGTGGGGGCACAGGATGCTGGCGTGGACGGCAGACGGTGACGACGGAGTGAAAGAGCCCGCGCTGTACCTGATCGGGGGCGACGCTGTCGAGGGCGGGTCTTTCGTCAGCGACGTCTTCGTCAGCACCGAAACACGTGAGAACCTAACCCTGTAATATTGGCCGTATTATAGGTTCTTCTGCCCGTCATTTCAAATGTTCCGCTCTCAGTTAACAAACTCTGTATCATTTTTTTATCTACAGTAGAGTTTGTTTTTGACCGTGTGTGCATCAAATGTCCGCAAACGTCGGAATGTGTAAGCCATCGATGTGCGTGGTTATGAGTGTGTTCGGATCCATGCTCCGGAATCAGAGTGTGTGCGCAGTCGCGTTGCAAAGCACGGGACCAAAACAATCGTGATCTCCCCCCGCCTCTCTTGCGCCACTTTAACCTTGTTCGCACTTCTTCAAAGTTTTCTGTACGGCGGAGGGGATCGTTTGCGGCGGTATCGGGACATGCGTCAACTTTGGCTGCGACTGCGAGGGTACGTCGATGGGCACGGGAGCGGGGGGGGACTTTTGCACGGCAGACCAGACTGACTCCGAGTCAGCGGGGGCAAAGAACGTCCCGAGAGGCGTCTCGCTCGTCGTGGCTATCAACACCGTCGCTGCAGCCGTTCTTGCTGTTAGCACGTCGCCGTCGTTATCGTTATCATGGCCGGTACGAGAAGGGCAGTACTTATGACGGTTTCATGCACAGTGCTCTCACAAAGAGAAACGCAGAGAGAGAGAGGGGGGGGGGTATTCGGTCTGATAGTAAATACTTGGGGACCCGTGTGATCACTAGAGGCCTTCTGGTCTACCTTGCGGTGCAAGAAATCCTTCGTTTCTTTGCGCAAGGTCACATCGAGAGACACATATCTCTTTACGCGGAATGAAGTGAGGGGCGTCTTGGCTGTCTACGTTGCGACAATGGTTGCAATATCCAAGTAGTTGCTCTTGCTCTCTTGTCTTGGTATTGTCCTAAACCTGTCTTATGTAGCACTACGTTCTTTTCCAATGGAGTGCAATGGCACCGCAGTAACCCAGCGACTAAGCGAGGGGGCTCTAGGCTAACCGAAAAACAACGCACAACCGAGTGCGAGTGAGCGCAGAGGATCTGGGTCGCGAAAGTGCCGCAGAGACCTTGTCTCCGCGAAATTACATATCCTCTCAAACATGTTTGGCGGTACTGGTTGGTCCCTTGGAGGGTTAACTCCTCCAAGTCATCGGGCTGAACCCGACAGAAGGGCACCACAGCGAGTGTTTTCGCGTTTTCGTTCCACAAACCAACACACCCTCGTCGTATTCGCCTGGAGCCAACGTCAATTCCACGACCGATTCCCCGTCAAGCTGTCTCCGGCGAACCAAAATCCGTGCGTTTCACAGAATCACGATACACGGCGTTCACCCAGCCCCAAATCGCGGAAAACGCCACCGGAAGGAGTCATCCGATGTTCTCCTAACTGCCGCTGACGCCGCTCTACTTGCCGCTGCGTTTCTCTTGGCATGGATAAATCAAAACTCTTGCACGCCCTTTCCTGGTTGCTGATGCATGCCATTTCTCGCGCAAACTGCGACGAAGACGATCAACCTCGGTATGCTGCTGTACATAGATACTAAGCTTTATCTTGTGCTCGTCCCACAATAAGCTTAGGTGCCACGCTGGGGGAGTACCATGTGCATCGATAGAGACCATCGGACTGCTCGCAAGATTTGCTGTCTACGCGACCCTCATAATAAACGTTTCCGGGGCGTCCCGCCGCACGGGGTATGCCTTGTCCGTGGTCGTGGCTTGAAAGCTCACGTGTACCGGCTTTATTGACCGCATGCCCATTGTATGCTTCGACTTATTTGTCTTGACAACAAGTACTTGCAAGATGGAGGGAGGAAAGAGAAGTACGCAACAGTTCCATCCTGATCATTCTTCCCCTTCCTATCCCTGCACCACCAACAACACTGTAGCGCTGCGCGCTCGTGTTATGCCTACACGGGTGGGAAGATGCGCATACCTCAAGCTCCTCGTCGAGCGACACTAGCTGTCCGACAAAAAAACATCTGTCCGGGAGCTAGCCCACCCCCACTCTATCGCATCATGCGCATAATAAATATATCTACAACGTGGCGGGGCAGATTCCGGGGACGTAGCAATTGAAGGCGCCCCACACGAGGCCGACCACCGGGACAATCAAGCACAGGCCGAGGTAGAACACGGGGTCTTCGAACCACACGAGCTCACGGGAGTTCGTGCGGAGGAACCAATCAGCGTCCCGCTTCTCGTTTCCCGTGAGCTTGCTCGTGTCCACGCCGCGCAGCCCGCTCCCCGTCAGCATGTCGATCCTGTCAATATCGTCGTCGTCGTTGCTGGTATTCCCCCTCTTCGTTGCCCTCGTCGCCCAGCTATTTCGCTCCGCCGCCGCCGCCACCCTGCACGGGAAGAAAGGTGGCCCTGCCGAAGCCAAAGTCCGGGGAGCGCCGACGCGTGGTGGTAGTGCCGCAGCCCTCGCGCGCGCTGCGCCGGGATTTGGCCTCGTGAAGGTGAAAGCTTCGACACCATCACGAGTGGAGAAGGAAAGTAGCAGGAAGAGCGGCAGCAGCTGAAGTCTCCACACGAGTACAACCATCGTTCGGATGGGTGTGTGGGGATCCTTTCGGTCATAGTTATTCCACGCGCGCCAGGGGGGGCGACACGGGCGCCAGGGGGAGCGACCAAATAGCACAGCAGCAGCGGAGGGGGGAAAGTAAAAATTAGAGTTGCCGTGCTTGCTGTTCGGAAGCGTGTATGGCGCCCGAACTTCAACGCCACCGAACGTTGGATCCATCATGAGAATGCATAGATTTGTTGGACATTTGCACAGAAGTACGGGGGGGTTGACACCGGTTGAGTTTCCCACAGCTGGGATCCAGTCGGGGTATTCTTCGCGCGCCCCGCACATGGATGCATGATCTGCGGGAAACAGGGGCAAGTGAAAACATGACATCTGTACACGAAGGTACATCATACACCCGGCGCCTTCGTACATGGAAAAGTTGAAAAGCACACTGCTGTTCACATTCGCTGGGGAAGATACATACCTGGTATCACCTTGCATCCCGGAACATGAACACTCCGCTAACTGCTACTTCTTGTGAGTCTAGCTGAAGACTCTGCTGAGCTATAAAGTCTACAGTTTGGGATGTAAGGTAGACTACAAGCAGCTGCAGCACTGCTTCAACGCTACAGCAGTTGACATGTAGTCGGAAGTTCTCTCGGTGTTCATGTACCCTGTGCACCTTGTATCAACCAGCTGTCACGAGCTACATTCCCAATGGCAAAGCAAAACAGTTTACTTCTTACCTCACGTACGTGTGAGGGCGTAGGCGGTTGGCTCTGCTAGCTACCTCGATCGCGTACCAGCAGAGGATATGCGCCGCGATGCCGCTGTAGGGCAGCTGTTGTTGTCTCTCCCCGCGACGCTGCGAGGGGGGGGTCGGTGTGTGCAAAAAGGGGTTACGGCACCCCCTCGATCATGTTGACATCATCTGTCATGTGTAGTCATGTGCGTGTGTCGTGGGAGCACACGCCGTCAGACAGAGCGGCACACGACTTGCAGCACGTCCTTTGAAGATGTATAACCCGCTGATAGCCGTGCTCTGCTGGTACGGTTTGCCTGTCGGCCTGGCTTTCGCCCCGCCGCCGTTGGTGCGTGCTCGTGTCGGCAGCGGAAACACCGCATCGGCGGTGACTTGTCACCTTTTCAGCCCAGACCACGGGGATCATGACGGCCCGATAGTAAGAGCACCTTCGAAGGCAGCGAAGGCAGCCGCGGCGGGCAAGGAGGTCTCGGGGAAACCGTCGGGCGGGTGGGGCTCTTGGGAGAAGGTCGTCTCCCAGCGGGTCGAACAGGACGCGGTGCTGGACAGGTTTACCTCGGCGGGGGGCGTCCCGGAAGCTGCAAAGCTCGCTGTTCGAACAGCGAATTCGGGGGACATGCCGAGCATCTCCAGGTGGATGAGGACTACTGCTGTACTGTTGTTGTGGTTACACGAGACCTTGTGGACTGTGATCGAGCTGAACGTGCGCTGAGACAAGGATATGCGCGTCCGAACAACCGCGCATAGCAGTATATGGTATCGTCATGAAGTCGTAAATGCAGCAGTAGACGAAGGTGCAGTAGCATGACGAGCAACCCCCCCCTGTCCCGCATGCCTCGTTGTGTAGTACTTGGACGGAGCGAAATCCATTTGGAGAGTGTAGCGTCGATGCGTTTCAGCTGGAGACCCGTTCATACAGCAGTGTGCATTGCGGTATGTGTGTTGACTGGAGCAGAGCGACAATAATATAATGCCAAAAATCAAATTAATGGGCTTCATATACATGTACCCTTGACGGTTGCCTACTGCCTACAGAAGAGAAGTAGCTTTCGCAGAGATTTTTTACTTTCTTAACATCACACAACAAATCCATCTCTATCTATAGAAAGAAGTCTTTTATTTATGTATTTAGTACATAAATAAACATGTTAGATAAAGTATACAATCGGGGATTTTGGGTTACGGTTAAGGAATAGAGTCTGCGTAACCCCTCCCTGTTTAACTTCCTTCTGATGTTTCATTTCCCGCCCAGGCGGTCCGTTGCCAAATGGATGTGCAGCCGCCTGTATGTCCAGGCCTCTCTTGATCAGCACTCTAATACATCGTCTACAGTATTACTGTAGGGTCGGAGGTTTATGGGCATACTTGTCCGCGCGCGCAAAGCCCTTTTGAGTGGACCCATCGCACACCCCGGGATTCTCATTCCCAGTGCCTTCGTTGTTTTTCGCGCCAGACTATGCATTGACATATTTCGGGGACCGTTCCAGTGGTTCGAGCTTCCCATACAGCTATTCCAGGTATGACATGAATCTAGTGTTGTTTGAGCCACAAGTAAAGCGATAGTGCTGTGCACGTCCAATAGACAGCAGCGCCCCAACAGAGGCTTATCCTTGAGTTTTTAGATCTTTCACGCGTTTTCACCGCTGGATGTTGTACTCCGACTGGCCCATGTTTGGACTCTCTCGGCACCTTTGAGGTCTCCTGCCTGCTGCTGATTGATAGCACGAAGCACAGCAACTCGGAATCCCGCTTTTTTTTTGCTGGGGTGAAAATTGCTTTGAAAAATGTCTCACTTTTTTTATCGCCAAGCAAGAATCGACCATGAGCCATAGATCACGGATGAATAAATTCGTACTATTATATAGAGTCTTGCTGGTGCTTCTGTTCGGCCCGCACCAGAGTACCTCCTTGCAGTTCTTCTCCGCCGGCACACAAGTTTCTCTCACGGCTCCGCAGCAATAGTCACTTTCGTTAAGAGCAACCGTTAACTCGCCTGGCCATGTACACGAAATTTTAGCAAGTTGTTCAGCCCCCCTTTTGGCCATGGTTGACACCCAGGAAATGCCGTCCGTCCGCCGACGGTGTTCGACCTGCCCCGCCGTACCGTACGATCTCCTCTCTGGTCACCATGGTGGTGCTGAAATAAGCGTATGAGGAGTTGGCACCGCGGCAGCGGTGGCCCCACGACTTGTTTTTTTCTTTTGTTCCGCATTTCCCAAAAGAATGACGGCGACGACGACCACCACCACCATCACCACGGAGGCCGGATGATACCAACCCATTCTCTATTCTGCTCGTTCGGCCAAGATTAAATGTTACGTTCGAATTATCGGCATGCGCTGCATCTCCCCGCGCGAACCTCCTCCTCCTCCGCCGCCAACCAGCAGGAGTTCGCCTTCTTCGGGCAGATCAAGGGTCGCCTGGGGCGCGTGACCCGCAACGAGATCAAGCACAGCATGGTGATCGCCCAGGACACGACCAGCCGCAGGGTCGTGGGGTTCCTCGAGATCGGGATGCTCCCCAAGCCCAGCTCATCGGAGGAGAGCGCCCTCGCCGGAGAGAGCCTGACGGCGGCCAGGGCGGCAGCCGCGCTAGCGGCGGCCGCGGAAGCTTCGGGAGCGAAAAAGAAGTCGGACGGCGAGCGTTCTTCGTCGACGCCGCGGGCGGGTGCCACCACTACCGAGGGTGGAGCGGGGAAGCCGAGCCGGGAGGGGGAGGGGAGCCGGAGAGAAGGGGGGCGTGAGAGAAGCACCACTGCCATCAAGAGGGAGAAGCAGCCGGAGGTGGCCTACCTGGCTAACGTGGTGGTCGACAGAGGGCAGCGGCGGAGGGGGATCGGCCGCACGATGGTCAGCTCGGCCATCGAGATCGTGAGGGAGCTGTGGCCGGCGGAGGATAACATTTACGTGTCCGTCGAGCAGGCAAGAGACGCCTCGAGAGGGAGGAGAGGGGAAGGGGGGGGGGGGGGGGGGGGGGGGGGGTACGTGCTCGTCGAATCCGGACCACAGTAAAAGCAGGGGGGGACTCCCATCATTCGCGCTTGTGACGTATCATGCACATGTCCTCAAGGAGAGGAGGCAGGAAAAGGNGTTCGGTTTAAAAGCAGTTACCCCACAGCTTAAAAACTTTTTTGTTCCCTCGTCGTTTCGGGAATCAGATATTTTTCGTGGTCCGAAACGCCCAAGATCTGAGTTGAGTGTCATGCCCATTTTCGAGCCCGAACCCACCGAATTTTCGCTCCTTGTGCGTGTCTGGCTGTTAGTCCACGCTAATCGCTCGCGTCTCTCGCGCCTCTTTTTTTCTTGTGGTTGGTAGGGCAACGACATCGCGCTAGCTCTTTACCAAGGGATGGGCTTTGAGTTGGCGGCGCTGGAGGACGAGATGATGGCGAGAAGTCGAAGACGCCCCCCCCGGGTGTACCTCTCGAAGCCTCTCCACTAGTCTTACGGAAGTTATTGTCAGTGAAAACTTGTGACAGGAGGTACTGCTGCAGCTATGAATCGACCTTGATGTGATGGGGACCGCATACTTTGTCGGCCGATGAGGCTGTGAACCACTTTGTCTTTGTACATAAACTGGAAACCAGGCAAGAGGTAGCTTCAGATGAGTTCATAAGCACGTACAATGTTTCACTCGAGGTAGCCTATTTCGCATCGATGGCTTTTTTTTGGTGGAGTTTTATGTTCGAAACCAGGAGGACACAGAGGGAGAACATGTGGAAACTCGCCTACGCAACTAAATGCCAGAGAGATTGTAGCTTGTTAGGAGGCGCTTTCTTTCGTCGTCTCGTATTCACGTTCGCTGGGCGAGCGTTTCGCGGCGTGCACGCAACACGTACTACAATTTTGCGTTTCTGATGCCTTTTCCCCAGACACGGTGTGCGTCGAACATCCAGAGTACGAATTGTGGGGCGGGCATCGGGGGGGGCTTTTGATCAGCAATCGGTTGGATTTCATGCGGAGAGCGCTGGCGAAGAGCTTGACTCCCTAAGCTGACAGCAACACCCATATCTCGTTTGCGAGAGCTGCGAACTGCATGATATGTAGAGTAGCCTAGTCGAGACAGGGCATAGACTAGAGTGTTACGCAGATCCTTTGGACACTGATAAAAATAATTGTTGGTGAATGTAGTGGGCGAGCCATTCACACGAGCAGCTTTTGCAACAATCGGGCACGCGGGCCTCGTCTGTCTGGGCCACGAGCTGGCCGTACTCTCGGCCGCCCGACGAAGTAGCCAATACAAGCCGGCAGGCTGGGAAAATGGCGGATATGGGTTAAGCAGGTGCGCAGACCGCTGCGGCATACTGCTGTGTGACGTCTTGACATTTTTACACTCGTGAAGAGAAGTGAACAACTCTTGTTTGTGGAAACGCTCCTGCCACGTCCACACTAAACAATGAACGGCGGTCTGAAGAAGCCAGCTTGGCGGCTGGTCAGCCCTCTCACAACTCGCACCGAAGAAGGCCATGCGAACGAAGCGCGTACGCGCTGCTCTCCTCTGTGAACAAACAAGCTCGTGGTGAGGTTGATGTTGCTCATGTGTGTCGTCGATTGCACGAGTGCCACGTGTCCTTAATATTCCTGCCCGCCCGCTCGCTCTACACACACGCAACAATCGATCCATCTCGTGAAGCTGACAGCCCCCGCACCTTCGCCGGACGATCGATGCGTTCCGTTTCCGGCTTCGAAGGGAGAGGAGGGTTTGTGTTCGAAATCCTCCACGCTTGGCAGGCAAGTTAATACACCCCCACGCGGGCCGTTTAATAGAAATGACACCACACAGCCCCAACCATTTGGCCACAATGTTAGTCTAGACACCAATAATTAAAGTCGTTACAAACGTGCGTGTTTTTTTCTTGGTCGACCTCTCGTCTAAAAGCGTAAAAGCGACTGCACATGAAACGAAACAACCGTGACATGGTTTGGACTTGACCCCAAAGGCCCCAACCAGCCAGGCAATAACTGAACACATTCGATGTCGTACGCCCTACTCCTCTACCAACTTTCTGCATACGCTTATGCCGACGCCACTTTCAGTACGACAGTAAGTCGAAAGGGGCACAACAGAACCTAAACGAAAACGATTTGGTCCAGAGGGATCAATCACGCCATGTGCTCCAGCGACTCGGCCCAGTGAGTCACGTACGCGATGATGAAAATTCCGGCTGGGCCACGATCGAACAACGACAGAAACGCGAAAGAACAACAGAGGGTTTACCATGTCAGGTAAGCGAAACGCGCCTCGCCGGCGACGGTAGGGGGGTGGGCGGGGAGTTACAAAAGCCACCACAGTTCGAACATAACTTTGGTCCAACGATCAACCACGACGCGCTTGTTCAAGAACGCACGCCTGCTTTGGTCGTCCAAAGCCAACCGCGACCATTGAGATGAGGAAGTGCAACACGAATGAGATTCGCCGTTCACACAAAAAAAAAAACTGACAAGTTATCATCACTCGGCATGTAACAGAGTGGTACGAGATACCGTCCCGCAAAGAGTAGTCTACAGCAGTAGTGTCCTCTACACCTCACACAGTTCCCTGTCTGTCGGCGAAATACTTATTCGAGGTGAAAAATGCATTGCAACACGCAGCCACCACAAATACCATACCTGTCAGCGCGAAGAACTTCTTCCACTTGTCATGTGGGCTCTCGAACTCCTCGGCAATGACCTCGGTAGCCCCGACATAGATAAACGTCCCCGCCGCCATCGCCACCATCACGGCGTCCGCTAGCTTGCCCGTGAACTCCGAGATTGCGATACCAAGGCCTAGCCCTGTTTGGAGAGAAACGGGAACGAGAAAAAAAGGAAGCCAATGGTGTTCAACCGCGTCATCATGCTTGTCCTAGACGAGAAACGCGGAACCGAGCACTCAAGCAGACACCGAAAACAAGACGGCGACGACAATGTAGCGACGAGGGAGCAACTTTTTCCCGCTTACAGCAAAACTGTACCGTTGTCAGACCTCTTTCTTCCACTACGAACTCTCGCCAGTAACCGCAACGAACGGGCCTGCAAACATCCCGGTGACCAGACAGTCCCGCAAATGACGAAATCGGGAGGCAATGTATACACGTCGTCGGTGGGCCGAAAAGAGGGCGACAGGCGTGTCGTATCAAACCTTGCTCCGTGTGAAGTATTGCCACCGACAAAAACGTTCGTACAGTCCCGTTCATCGACTCCGCACCAAACGAACTACACACGCACGCACGGGCAACACGTTGTCGACAACGGCAGAAACAACCAACCCCGCCCTAAAACGACTTGAACCAAGGCTGCCTTTGCTGTAGCTACATAAATACCTGTAGAGAAAAAAGGGGATTAACCGTGATCCAAGCCACATCGGGCAACGAACCTATGTACACGCCTGAGGTCCTACTTCGCAAACGTACCGTGTAGCCAATCAATGAGCGCTAAGATGGGGAAAGGGCGCGAGACTCACCCGCAGGACCAAGGCAGCTGAAGATGGACAGGTACTTGATCACCTGCCTCTCAGACAGCCCTGATTTCAAGAAGGATACCAGCAAGGCCAGCGACTCCGCCGGCTTCACCAGGCAAAACAGGATGGCGGTTACGGCGTAGACAAAGGGGGCGACGAAGGCAAGAGGCGAACGGGTGGGGGGGGGTG